TGCTAATGACTCTGTCTGGCACTAGAAGGACTTGAGTTAAACATGTATTTCTCCTGTTAGTCTGAGGGCGATGTGTGGTGTATGAATCCCCCTCCCCTGTCCCCTCTACTGACCTTCCCCCTCTTCATCTTCCTCATCTCCTCCAGAGTGGTGGCAGTAGTTCACCGCTGCGTATTCGATACAAGAGGACAAGACAAAAGGAGCTGGTCCCACATGGGACCACAGGTAGAATCACCGCTTCACATATGAACTTGGCGGCAAAGGAACACACATGGGAAATCTGTTACCTTTTTTTGATTGATGGAACAGGAGGAAAATCTGCGGGAATCGTATATTTAAATTATAACAAGATGGGGGTATTGTAGCCAAGTAACACAAAAAATGTCCCTAAAAAAGAATGTCCTAATGATTCAAAGATTATTCTTTGTCCCCTTGCAGTCCTAAGTCTTGATCCTTACAGCGGCTCATAAAGGGATTAACCTCTGAAATAGGTCGGGCCACGAAGCTTAAGACCTGGAGCAAGTCAGCAATAATGGGCTTCACACCAGCGCTTTTCCCCTTTCTACACTGAACAGAAAATAATAAAAAATGCAAACACTTTTGTTTTTGCTGCCCATTTTTTCCATGAGATGGCAACTCAAAGTCTAAAAACATTTTCTAATAAACAACAAATAACCATTCTCTTCAAATAATTAGTTCACAAATCTAAAATCTGTGATAAGATGAGCACTTCTCCTATTGCCGAGATAATCCTCCCACCTCACAGGTGTGGCATAATCATATGCCAGATTATACACAGCATGATTATTGCAAAACCTTATGCTTTTTCCCCGAGGTTGCCGTGGTTCATGTTTATGTAATGTGTTTCAGCGGCATTACCGACCGCTGCAAGTGCTGGTTGCTCTTCCACCGCGAGTATTATCTCCCGTTAGCTTCCCGGTTAGCCTCACACTGCGGGCGCTCTAAGTATTCTGTCCGCTGTCCACACAGAGCTGAATATCCCTCAGTTCCTTAAGTTAATGTGTGTCAGCTTTGAATTGACGCTGTTTGGGCTCACAACGCTGTTATGAAGTTTTCTATGGTATAAATGGGGGATGTCGCCCCCAAAATTAAGGCATCCGAAGCTAAACTGACTACTTGCTTATTGCCTATCCTATTGCTGGATAACCTAGTTTTCCTACAGGCACATTTTACGGCGTATTTGATATTATGCTTCTACTTGTAATAGTCGGACCAACGAACACCTGGTGCAGCCCATGTATTGATTCGCATCCGATAGCTGGCTATAATAACAAACGTCTCCTAATCTCGCACAAGATCACAACAGTGAAGGATGGTGCAAAGTAAGTTAGCAAATAAACAGAATGCAGCACGAAGCCTGGTTTAGGTGTTGGGCCTGACTTTATAAAGTGTGTTTCGAGCACTACTGCTTGTTAGGTCAGGCAAGGGGGGGGGAATGAGAGACTCTTGCAGTCGACAATGGTTCAGGGGGGTGGGTTTAGTTTCTGCACGCTCGAGCGTAGAGAGAGCGTAAGCGACGGCCAACTCGTTAGCTCCGAAGCTCTGCCTCTAGACGCCCCTCGCAAACTTTTTGGAGCTGGAAGTAAAACGGATCCGCGAGCTAAGAGGCGGGCGCGGCCTGGCCGGTTGAAGGGAAAAACGTACTTTTTCCCAGGCTCTCGCTCCAGCCGGACCTGGAAGCGTTTGTGAAAGGAACCATAAGACATGAGTAAAGTCAGCTGACTTGAAGGCCTCTTGAAGCCCGCCGCCTGCTGTTACCTTGGAGCATGGAGGAGGACACCCCGGGTGATGATGGTGGACATGGTGAGCACCGTGGTTATATCTGCAGGAAAGAGAGCAGGTATTACACACAACGATACAAAATTGGCACCTGCTGGGCCGTGTCTCAAAATAAACCCGCGGTTCGCACAGATCAAATGATTAAAACTATTAAGATTCAGTGATTCGGCAGATTATGATGGTTACCAGAGAGACAGCGTGCAGGGACGGCCCTCCTTCGATCAGAAGGCACACAGGAACAGGACGACCATCAGATGGTTGGGAAATAACGCTCTGCAGCATGAGAAAGAGATGTGCCGCGCAGGATGAAGTTAATGAAGCAAGACGGTCTGTACCACCTGAAGGAGAGAGACAGCGACATCACAAGGATAATTTTTCTTCTTAAAAATCTTCCACTCTTCGGTTAAGGCTTTCACACATCGTTGAGCACACTTTTATTTAACTGTATAAACTGCTTAGCATTTTGAATCTATAAAATTCATTCGTGTTTGACATTCCTATTGGCCTTTTAATTGTATGGTATATTCAGTAATGCACAAATGTACATGTATTATTTGTTGAATAGAGAACCAGCCTAAAAACTTTCACGTAATCAGATTATTCACACCACCACCACACCCACCCACCACACACACACACACACACACAGCACACCACCACACACACACAGACACCCACCACACCAAACCACACACCACCACACACCACACACACACACACACACATCAGCACACACACCACACAACCAGTCACCCAACACCACACAGCACACACACACAGCACACACACACCACACAACACACACACACACACAGACCGGTGGCTGCTGTAAAAAGACAGGCACTGGGTGGAAATGGCTCGATGAAAAACCTGAGCAGACGATCTCGTACGCGTACGCTCGAAGAGTGCGTTCCCATTCTTACCAGTACAGCATCAGGTCGTTCTCTTAATACGGCATCTGTGTAGCAGAGGGGAAGCAACCGGGGAAGAGAGTGGTGGGGGGAGAAGTGTTCAGTGTCTGGGAGATTTGTTCCCGATCGTCTGAGCTTATCCTGCTGTTTACACATTTTCAGTGGAGGAAGAAGTACTCATATATTTTTCTTAGCTTAACTTGGATATACTGTACCATCATCATGTATCAATAGTAAAAGCACAAATGATGGAGAATGGTCCATTTCAGATATTATTTGATTCTAATTGGAAATACCCTTTACTTTAGAGTGGCAATACCCCCTTTACTTTCATTTATCATTCTAAAGTATATGTTGATTTCACTGTAAAGGCTGTACAATAATGATACCATCTGCGTTTAGACTGGTTCCCTAAAATGAAATGTTTCCTTCCTTTTACAAGTGAAGACGTTGGCGTTCACTGCATCACTGCAACCGTAGCTAAGAGGCAATATGTGTATCTTTGTGTGTGTGTGTGTGTGTGTGTGTGTGTGTGTGTGTGTGTGTGTGTGTGTGTGTGTGTGTGTGTGTGTGTGTCTTACAGCTCTCCAGCTCCAGTGAGCAGTTCTGTGTGTCCAGAGGGAAGCTGCTGAAGTCCATCGAGCAGAGAGCCGTCACCGTCACTCTGAAACACACCATGAAAGAAACTTCAGCTTCACCTTTATCTCACGCTCTCAATTACTCTATTTCATTCAAGTGAGGTAGTTTTTGATTTTAAAAACACGTCAACAAAACTAGATTACTGGTTTTGTTAGGAGTTTGAATCTAAAAAAATGACAAAACTTAAGTGTGGTGGAGGTTTAAGGTATTAGGATGAATTGTCAAACTTAAATGACTGATAGAAGTAGTATTGGGAAATATAGTACATTTTACTCCACTACATTTGTCAAAACATGTGATCAGTGTATAAAAAAGATGCTGTGTTATGACCTAAATGCCCAAAAGTAAATAAAACTACTTCGCTATAGCAGCTATAACAATAATGTCCTGTCTTCCTCAGCAACAGAGTAGTTTGTATGAGCTGCTCCCTTTAACTTCCACCAGTCCTCGTCCCTACCTGACGCTGTAGAGGATGTTCCCGTCGGGGTACACCCGCAGCATGATGTTCTCCATGGTGGTGTCGTGGATGAAGGAGCGCTTGGAGTGGACGAAGAAGACGTCAGGGACCCAGATCTTCTTCACGAGCCGAGAGTCAAACGTCCGGCTCTGATTGGTTCTGGACGGAAACGCCAGCCGCTCGTCCTTCCAGTAATGACGCAGGTACAGAGTTATGGTGAAGTCCTGCAGGACGCAAACAGACAGTGTTGATACATCTTATTGTGTGAGTAAACTTATGTCATGGTGCATCTATGTTTGTATATTAAAAGTAAAAGGGGCTTAAAATATAAAAGATAATATGACACTATTCAGGTAACTTGTAAGGATCCACTTACAATTTAAGAACTTCAAATTCAAATATGCTTTTTGTGCGAATTTTCATAAAAACTCTCCGTAATCAGATTTTGTCTGTTGAATCTTTTTCCATTAAAATGCCGTACACTGATCAGTTTCTCTGCCATGTTAACCAGAAGACAGAATATGTCTGAAGTCACTCCTAATCAGATGTCATTACCAATCATAAAAAAAGCTGGAAATGAGGTGTAAGATGTTCAATATCCTCACCATGTTAACCTCAGAGATGCCGTCGATGCTTTCCACCTGCACATCGATGCCCACAGGGATGGCTGCACCTGAAACCACATCATTAGTTCAAAAGTGAAAACTGAAACTCATAAATTAGTGCAACAGTTCTCCTAGGAATGAGACTGTTCATCATAGCTGCCTTCTTAAAGTAGTCTCTGTTCACTCAACACCTGAGGGGTTTTGCAGAAACTTTGATCTGTGAGAACTCAACTTAAACAGAGAATTTGCAGCGTGTATTTAAGGTCAATAAACTAAAAATTACTGCATGAGAGTTCACGCAACTGTCAGAATGGTTCCCCCGAGCAGAAGATAAGACTCGCGGGCTTGTCGTGTTATGACAGAAAGATAGTATTTTCTCAATTAGAGTAACATTTCAATCAGTCAGCTGTCAGTGCTGTTATGTTAAAGAGGCCGTACTCTGCTTCTGTGTGTGTGTGTGTGTGTGTGTGTGTGTGTGTGTGTGTGTGTGTGTGTGTGTGTGTGTGTGTGTGTGTGTGTGTGTGTGTGTGTGTAAGAGAATGTATGTGGGAGCCCTAGTTAGGCTACAGTTTGAGAGAGGTCAGCACATGGCCCAGCGGCGACCAATCACAGCGCAGTAATGCGGCAGTCTCCACTCCCCCTTCCCCCTCCCTGAAGCTCCCCCTTCTTCCTTCCTCCCATCCCACCATTCAGTCCTTTCTCCCTCCCACTGATACCTTTCTCTTTGACTTACATCAGTTTTGCCCTCAGCGCTTAAGTCCCCCCTCCTCCCATCCTCCTTTCACAAGGCCACTAGCCCCCACCCCCAGGCCACTAGCCCCCACCCCCGGGCCTCATGCCTAAGCGACCAACAATCAATCTGATTATTCTGTAATGGTTGATAAGTTAAAGGCTGGTGAAGTTAGGAAATGTCAAGATGTCCATGTCTTTTTTTTCAAATAATACTTTTTTGTGACTTTTACTTTTTAATATTGTTATTAATGTCTAATCTATACACACATCTATAGTATGCCTGTCTGTATAGTATGTCTCTGGTGCTCTTTTTTAGGTTTTCTCATTATTTTTTTTCCTGCCACTAAAGGTTAAAAAGTTATTCCTTATTCAAATCCAGGATGTTTTATGATGTACAGATTATAAAGCCCCTTGAGGAAAATGACTTTGAATTATATAAATTAATAAACTTAATTCTCTGAAAAATGGTTGCCAGAACCAGATCCGACAATAAAGTTGATTTCATGCAAGTTCTGTACAGTATCTAGCAATTATTTGAAAAGTCTGTTCCTTTATATAATATTAGATGAATACTGTAGGAATGTCTGTGTAGTGAGTATAAATATTAAACACAAGTACCTGGTAGTAGCAGTAGTAGTAACCAGGTGGACCGGGCTGTCCGAGCGATAACTGCACCTGTAGCTGGGTCGGACACTGTGGGTTCGTCATGTGACTCGGGCTGGAGGGCAACTGAATGGGATGAGTGCCGCTGGAGATGGTCACCACGGAGACTGGCAGGAGGCGAAATGGAGGAAAGGAAATGAGTCACAACACCAGCTGGCATGATGGAAACACTGCAACAACTAGATCACTCAATATGGTATACAACTGGTTAATACTGGAGATTGCACTGCTATAAAGTTAACATTTTTTTCCCCACAACTTAATAGGAGTGGTGTAAAGTAACTACTGCCCACTATAATTCTGAGGTAAATATTGTATATATATATATATATATTAATATTTTTACTTCAATACATGTATTTAATACCTTAAGTTACTTTGCAGATTTTGATTAATTATATGAAATATAATCAACACTTAAATAAGACTTGAGTTACACCTGGAGTTAATCCACCAGCTACCCTGCAATGTACAAAGCAATTCAAACTAGCTCCATGTTTAACAGTAGTGATAAACACATTATTGCCTCAATAATTATAATCAAAATATATATTACTCTGAAAATGGGCCAATCTGCAGAATTAGTTTTTTAACCTTTAGTACTTGAAGTACATTTTAATGCTAATACTTTTGTAGTTTTACTTGAGTAACATTTTGATTGCAGGACTTCTCCAATCTCTGCTTAATGCCACAATGAGTTCAAGCTTAAGAGAGATAGTTAGTTAGTAAGTTAGTTAGTTAGTTGGCTATATGGCTAAATCCCTTAAGAATGATTGAGAAAAAGGTAAAGTGAAAATAATCATCTACGTAATCTGGCAATAGCGTTCCTGACTCAAAACAAACTGATACTAACGGCTAACGTTAGCTAAACGACATCTGGTTAAACTTTGCTAACGCTAGATAGACTAAATGGCATTAAACTGTTTCCATTCAAAAATAGTAAAAACAAGCATTTCATATACAGTTTCAATAAAACATGTTGTTTAGGCGTAATGTTAAGGTAAGGGTAACTCAAACATAGGTAAAGCTAGGCTTTTGTTGTTTTACTTTGAACTAAACTTTTTTCCTGGTTCTTACCGTTAAGGCAATCCTCTCTGCTGACACCCTGACTTAAACTTGCCTGTTAGCCAGTAAGTGAGGACAAATTAGAAAAACCTCGAGAAAACAACTGCAACAAATGTGCGAGAAGTCTAGTTAATCGAGTTTTTAACAACTTATCTTTCGAAATATAAACAGCATTTCTGTCTCAAAAGCAGCGGATAGCGTTGTGTCCTTACGGCCACCGCTAGCTACTGACCGTTAGCTCATCAACGTCCATAAATTGAACCACAACAACGGTAGAAAGAGACTAACGGTTATGGCTAGGTAGAGCAAACTTTAGGCTAATATTAACTTTTAAAACCTGTATTTGTTCGAGTAATTGTATTAATCGTGATTCAGAAACTCACCTGTCACCTGTCCTCCCGCCGCGTTAAACTCAGTCTTGATTTCTGGGTTTACTGCGGTGTGTTTGCGGAACTCTCCCTTCTTGTGCTTCCATTAAACCGCCCGTTGACTCTCCCAACCACACTCACACCTATAGTTGCGATGGAAACTGTGGGTTTTAATAACATCGGATTTTTGCAAATTTGGTTTTAATACAATAAACGTGCATGATGTAGCCAGGGAGGACAAATTAAATCCGGAGGCCAATGAGGCCGCAAACGCGTCAAACACCACCCACAAGACAGTTTGACAGGAAACCAAACAAATCACAATCTGGACATTTCTTTAAATTAATTCCATGATTAATTCCCATGGTTTCATTGTTCAAGTAATTTATTAAAGTAATCCACTACTTGGAATAGATCCTGGGGGAATGCTGTTCACTTCATTTATTATTGTGTTTACTTAATGTAAGGATAATGTTTGTGAAATAGGAAATCAGTTTAATGAATAGGATACTCACAACATGTTAGCCATGTGTTTACATTTTCAACCCAAAACTCTACAAATTAAAGTATATCTTTACAGCAGCTATACCCCTACAATTATATTCAGGTTGCTAGTTTTTGATTATAAACTCCCCATAGAGTAGACAAAAACAAACAGAATACCAGCGTTGTAGTAAGGATTGTAAAATTGGGGTGTATGATCATTTTGTTATATTAAATGAATACAAAAAAAAAGACTTATGAAAGAGCATTCATGTGTTAGATTTTAATTATAACATTCCTACGGTTGTTAAAATAATATTTTAAAAGTACAATACGGCCCTGCAGCACACATACATTCACTTTCACATACTCATGAACAAGATACAAATTTAATGAGAAAATACATTAAATTCATGTTCAGTAGCCGATGTCTCCACACACATAACTCGTAAAAAAGGGTGAGGATGTTTTTCAAAAAATAACATTTTCTGTCCTCCTAATTTATACTTTCCCTGTGGCTATGGAGTAAAATAATCGTTGGATATAAGAACTTTAAGTATTACAAGATAAGAGTCACACAGATTATTTAAAAAAACACAAATGAGATTCCATTGTTTGCCAAGTATCAAGACTTAACCGGCTCCCACAAGACAAATGTCATGTTTGAAGTGCGCACAATTAAAAGTTCCTACTCTGAGGAACTGGAGTGCTTTTATCTCTCTTGTACAGACCATCATTAGCGATGAAGCCGGCGCTCAAGGGGCTCCTGTGATCGAGAGTTAATTCAGTGAAGTGCCTGTGGAGCTCCATGGAGAGGAGGAATCCCCCAGCAGGCTCTCTGACTCAACACTCCTTCAAAGTGCAGCAGAGTTCAGGGAGAGTTTGCAGTGCTGCATCAGGAGTACAAGCACCAGTAGATGATGTTGAAGAGCAGGTAGGACAGGGGGAAAGCCAGGCGTGAGTATGAGTCGATCATGTAGCTGTTGCTGACAAACAGGTCCACGTTCTCACGCACCGACCGCTGCCGGCGGAGGCGAGTCCCCTCCGTGGGCCGGAGGTCTGGGGTCAGGGTTGGCGTGGTGAGGGGGTCAGAGGTCAGGGCGGGCGCCATGCGGGAGAACGGAGTCAGCTCCATGTCATTGTCGTGGAAACAGCCGTCGAACGCCATCGCCTGGCTGGCGTTAGAGGTGGATGGGATCTGAAAAAGTGGAAATATAAACTCATAGCCTTACTGTGGTCCTCGAGTGAATGATTTGCACAAAAAATTACAATGCATCATAATTTAAGAGTTCTTGATATGTTTTAATTTGTAAAGTTAGTACAGCTGTCTGATATATGAAGTGAAGTAGATGTAAGAATCATGAAAACCTAAGTAAAGCACAAATACCTCAAATATGTACCCAATACTGAAGTAAATGTAATACAGTGACATTCCCCCACTGAAAAATGTTGACAGACTGTAATGACTCTGTCTGGCCACTAGAGAGAGACATTGAGTTAAACATGTATTTCCCTCCCTGTTTAGTCTGAGGGGCGATGTGTGGTGTATGAATCCCCCCTCCTGTCCCCCTCACTGACCTTCCCCCTCTTCATCTTCCTCATCTCCTCCAGAGTGGTGCAGTAGTTCACCGCTGCGTATTCGATCACAGACAGGAAGACAAACAGGAAGCTGGTCCACAGGTAGATGTCCACCGCCTTCACATACGAGACCTTGGCGGCAAGGAGACACACAGGGGAAAATCATGTTCACTTTTTTTGATTGATGGAACAGGAAGAAAACAATCTGCGGGATCGTATATTTGAAAAAATTATACACAAGTGGGGGTTATTGTAGCCAAGTCAACAAACAAAAAAATGTCCACTAAAAGAATGTCCTAAATGATTTCAAAGATGTATTCAGTTTGTCCCCTTGCAGTCTAAGTCTTGATCCTTACAGGCTCATATGGGAATTCAACCTCTGAAATAGGTCAGGGCCACGAAAAGCCTTAAGACCCTGAGAGCCAAGTCAGCAATAATGCGGCTTTCACACCAGCGCTTTTCCCTTTCTACACTGAACAAAAATATAAATGCAACACTTTTGTTTTTGCTCCCATTTTTCATGAGATGAACTCAAAGATCTAAAACATTTTCTATATACACAAAATAACCATTTCTCTCAAATATTGTTCACAAATCTGAAAAAATCTGTGATAGTGAGCACTTCTCCTTTGCCGAGATAATCCATCCCACCTCACAGGTGTGGCATATCAATATGCTGATTAGACAGCATGATTATTGCACAACCTTATGCTTTTCTCCAGAGTGCCGTGGTTCATTGTTTATTAATGTGTTTCAGCGGCATTTACCGACCGCTGCAGTGCTGGCTGCTCTTCCACGGGAGTTTATTCTCCCGTTAGCTCCCGGTTAGCTCACACTGCAGCGGCCGCTCTAAAGTATTCACTGTCCGACTGTCACACAAGCAGCTGATACATATCCCCAGTTCCCCTTAAGTTAATGTGTGTCAGTCTGAATTGACGCTGTTTGGCATCACAACGCTGTTATGAAAGTTTCTCTGGTATAAAATGGGTGATGTTAGCATAGCAACCAAAGCTAAACTGACTACTTGTTATTGCTATCCTATTGTGGCATAAACCGTTTTCTACAGGCACATTTTACCGGCGTATTTGTATTATGATTCTACTTGTAATAGTCGGACACGACAACCTGTGCAGCCCATGTATTGATTCCATCCGATAGCTGCTATAATACAAAACGTCTGCCTCTCTCCACAATGATCAATAACAGCAAACGGATGGTCAAAGTAAGGTGAAAATAAACAGAATCCCACAAAGCCTGGTTAGTGTTGCCTGACTTTATAAAGTGTGTTTTTTTTTTATAAATGTGTGGTTGACTTCTAGTCACTTTGCTCAGCA